CATGTTAAAGCTATGGCAACAATAATATATTATTGAATCAACTATAAGGCGCATTGTTAAAATAACTATAAAAAAATAGTTGGCACCTTAAATCACTATAAATTATAGTGAAATTGTGATAACTGCAACTATTTTTTTCTCTCAGTGCGTGCGTACGTCTTAACTTGTGTTCAATTGTAACTGTGTCCGATTGTCTCAGTTCTGTGTCTGTGTCTTGTCGTGTGCGATTGAGTCTGTGTTTGATTTACACATTTTGCCGTATCCGTTCCGTCGTGTGTCTATCTGAGACTCACCCAGAAATTTATAGTTTATTGTATAGTGATACTCAAAAGTGACGTTCTTGTGATAAACAAACAATAAAAAAATATAGTTATAAGTAAAATAGTCATAAGGTAAAATCGAAAACAAGAAGCATCTTTATCCAGAGAAACATAAAGTGTTAAACTGTTGACCTGCTCTTCTCTAATATAAATAAATTTGCGTTTTAGAGTTATAGAGTTAAACGTAGAAAATGACGATACCATATATACTCATAAATATATACATATACATATGTATACATAGTATCTAATACATACCTATGATCTGATACTAATTTTGGATCTTAATAAAAATGTAAAAAAGTAATATTACAACAGTGGTACATGGACGTGTTACGATAGTGTAAGTATATATTAGTAGGATAAAGTTTATTATAAATACTATTGGCGTGTAACAAACCATTTAAGTTACAAGTTTAAACGACTATGATAATGTATGAATTACCTGATCAATAATATACACTCCATAATATGTTGAAAAACCTTCCATAAACCAAGAATCAGACCGTTTCAATGTAGGTAACCAATCACTAAACATTTCTTGTATTACATTACGTGCTATTAAACATGTTACCTTTTCTTGTTGTGCAAGTGAATCTAGTTCTTCATCGTATGTAATTTCAGCTTCACTGAAAAACATTGGTCTTAGTGCAATCGTGTCATTTTTGGTACATCTATAAACTCGTTGTATTGTCTTGAGTAGTATCTTACTTGAAGAAAACTTGATTTTTAGTTATTATACTTTTGTAATGGCTAGACTTTATTGGAAGTGCTACATAAATCACACGTGACCATGATACATTTCTCCAAGTGTGTTTAACATGTTGCTTGATATTTGTAATAATAAATTCTGCATATGACATTTGATTTTTCACCTGTACTCTGTTTAGTATAATATCTTCCTCAAAAAAATAAAAGGAATTAGCTACGATAGAAGGTACGACTGCTATTGCTACTAAATGAGTAGACATTATAGACGAAGGGGGAAAGTATGTATTTCTTTCAAGACGTGTATCACCAGGCATATGTGAAAGAGCTATTTCATCGATGTTGTGGGAAATTCGAATACTAAATGTGGCCTTAATTGCTGGGTTTTTCCAATATGGAAATATCCATTCAGCGGGAATACGTGGCAAAATTAAATATCTGTGTAGTGAAAANCGNGAGTGCTAAAGATAANTTGTTNCAGTACTTGTCAANATATNTATAANTCATAGTGCAACANAACAAAAGTAATACTAAATAATGTTTCAAGTTAGTATGCACTTACTTCGNTTNTTCAGATTTCTGTTCATGTGATGAAACAGTAGCAACTTTGTCTAAAATACAACTATATACCGCATTTATCCAGTATATTCCGGGTTGTAGATATGTTATTGAGGGTGTTAAGTCCCACAATATGTGATTCACTTGAAAAACTTTAATGAGTATAATATTGGATTGATCTTTCGTCAAAAATGACACCGACGTTGTCCAAAACAAAGAAGTAAGATTATCACGTCTTAATATATTATTACTAATAGCAGTAATTTCCGGTGCATCACAATAACGTCCGAAATTTAATTTTATAGGTGACTGTACACAGCTTACGTTTATTTTGACGCGAGTCTCAACGGTAAGAGAGTTATTTTGTATTAGCGGAAAAATCTCCATTTCATAGGATATCGGTTTTATGCATTGCAATTCTTCAGATAAAGTCTCATCCGTGGAAGAAGCAATTTCGATTAGAAATATTAAGCATAAAGTACCACAGAATGTAAGCATTTGCGTAATGTGCATCTATAAAAGTAAATTGGTTGTTAAACAAGAAATATGCAAATAAAAGCGCAACAACGGATTTAAATTGTATAAAATAAATGGTTGCGTTTAGCAAAACAAGCTGCTCTGTAGTAATCAAATATAATTGGCTCTTACTTTTAGAACTATTTACGTAACGTCGAATATTGACAAGACAACAACTTAACGTTTGTTTTGCTAAACGCGGTCATAAATTGCGTTTTCAAATATTATTGTTACCAACAGATGTGTATAACCATTATTATTAGTATGTTTATCACTATGCTAAGATGTCCTTGTTTATCGCTTGCATATACACGTATACACATACATTCACATAATATTTGTCATGGGTTCATTTAGTTGCTATACAGAAGAACGATAGAAGAAAAACGAGTCCAAAGTTTGTGAAACGTTTATGACAAAATATCATTTCAACGAACAAAGCTATATTCTACAGTAAACTGTTCACATTTGTTAAGCGCGTTTTATTAATATAATATGGCACACATTGCAAATTACATCAGTGCAAAAAAGAATTTAAAATGTAGTAGTATTCATGGAATCGTAATGTACGGAGTAGAGTGACAAATATTATAAGTCGTATAATAAATAAGAAAATCGAGTAGATATATTTCTTTTATATATAAAAAACAAAAAACGAATTTCATATTTTGGTAGGGTGTAATGTGAAAGATAGAAGGTACATTTGCCAACAAATATTGATATTTAACAAATAATGTACAAGCTTTTGTTGACTTACCATATTTAAGACAATAATCTCATCAATTAAAATATGAAAATTGGAACACAAGAATTCTCATTATACAGGGTCACAAAAACGAGGTGTCGAAAGATATCTGCGATCTTGCCTGTTTGAAAGATACTCGATAACTACAAGACAGTTGTTTTCGTGAAGTAAGAAATATATATCGCGATGAAAACATCTGTATTGTGAAAAACATCTTACTTAGAGTGTATGTCATGTAGATACATATAGAGACAGTGCCGTATTAAGAAAGGTGTAAAGAAAGCGGTACGTCTCGATCGCTTTCTTAACAAAGATTCGATGGAACAATATAGACCTGCAATTTCAATGCTTACAGTTCGATTGTTGTTTAATGTAATACAACAATTTCATTTATTCCTACTTCTCCTACTTGCGTAATAGACAGAAAATGTTGTTTCAATCAATTCTGCGTTTCTTGTTTATCAAAAATTACTAGAGGCGTTGATGTAAAATAAAAAACTTGCTTTGTTTTTTTTGCTTATGAGTAATGCGCTTTGTTTTTCTTTGAAATAATTACGTAGCACACAAACGTACAAATTGTTCACACTTTTATATTTACAGTTTGTAACACAGACAATTGTGCAAATAATTAGACAAATAATTTACGATCAAGTTAGTATTTTGTTTGTATTTTTAAAAAATTATTTGGTTAAAAAAATGTAAAACGTAAAAAAAAGTAAAGATTCTTACAAGAGTAAAACAATTATTTGGTAGTTATTTAAATTATTATCGAAGTAATCTTATAAAGAATAAGGGAAAAAGACTGCACCGGTAGCTGTCTTTTCTTACTACGCTACTGTATAAAGGTAGGTTTCGTAGTTTGGCGATATTCTGTTCTATAGAAATGCCGCGTTTTATAAATCGCGATATACAAAGCTCGCATAAGCGCGCATAATGAAGAAACAAAGTACTTAGTCTTCATTACAATATGTAAATCGCGTTCAATTGAATTCGCGGTCTACGAAAGTTATCTTTACTGATAGAAATATGGTTAGTGATAAAACTATGACTTTTGAAATGTAAATATTCACTGTTTATTATGCGATAACGTTCATATTCGAAATGTTTTATTTGAGATAATCAATTCAATATTTGTTTTTTTGAAACAACTACAGTGAATAAACTATAAACAAATTGTTAAACTATTTAAAAGTGAGTGCAGCACAGACTCAAAGAGGATTACATTTGTTCTGTCTACGATTGAAAGTGATTGTTGCTTTGTAAGTGTTTCATACATCTAGGTTTATGGATACGTAATGTTGAAAGCAGCAACTGCGATTATGTCGGAAAAAAGTTTCATGGTTTGGCTGCTCTCAGGTTTTTCTGTGACATATACTTAAATCAGAGCAAAAAAACGCCTGCAAACTACACTAAGTTCAATGAAAAATGTAAAGTAAAACGAACAAACACTTGTTCGGTTTGCGTATATCTCATATCAAAAAGCCATCTTACTTTACAGCCATTGGATGTTAGCGAGTATCCCGCCAATTTAACACAAACCGTTATCTCTACTTTGCACTCTTTACTTTTCTTATGCAAAGACCGATTTTCTTTTTTTGCTGAACTCAGGAAAGATTGTCACATACACAAAGAGAAATCAAATAATACAATATAATGATCTTTAATCAGGGTTTTTGATCACCTTCGCTTTTGATTGATACTTCGATGTAAATCTGTAGAGTTAGCTGCGGTAAAGAAGAGCGCTATTTTATCTCGCTTTATTTTATTGCATATTAGATATAATACAAAGATAGAATGACGCAATAATTCTGATAGCGCGATCTTTTATCTGTCGATAAAATTTTAACTAGAGCTGCGGCTTAAATTCGAATAACAGTGTGATTCGGATATCCGGATATTCGAATATAATATATACGTACGAATAAACTTCAATCAACGGATAGTATTCGAATATCCGGATACTTTGTGCAGCGAATAGTACGAATAGTACTATTCGAGTTATTCGAATATCCGTATTATCCGGATATTTCGATATACTCAGTAGCGTATAAACTAGTTTGGGACCTTTCAGTACTCGGAGACAGAAATGTGATCACAAAATTAAAAAAGTCTATTACAAATATAAAAATAACGATATTTATTGTTCAAGAATTTATACTTGTCATTTACGAGTAAGTTTGCTTTAATGCTGATATTATATTATAAAAGATAAAGAAATAACTCTACTTTGTCTTCGTACATATTAACATATAAATCTAAATGCATAAATATTTAAAAGTTTCATAAAATCGTACATAGAATTGTGCACATCTATACACATAACTGTATATGAATATGAAATTGTATGTAAGTACATATGTGAGTAAATATAAAATCATGTGTATATTTATTAATTACTATCAATTTAAAACAACTTGATCAATAATAGTTTGATTATAGCTGAGAGATGTGCGATTGTCGTTTTTTATTTGGTGCGTACTACTTTTGATTATTTTACGGTTTTGCTTTCTCATTGTACAAAACTTTCACATCTACAATTTGTTAATAAATACAGGAAAAAGAAGCCGATACAATCAAAAAACTAGATGTTTGTGTTTGAAAAAGTTTATTTAAATATTTACGTCAAATTTTTTATTCAATTTTCAGATCTTTTTCAGTGACAATTTAAATGTATAATTATAAATAAATATTCA